CAGAGCCATTCCTCTGGCTTTTTATTAGTTTTCACGAAAATTTTTCCCACTTCCAGTAAGACTATATTAATGAACCGAACTGTTTCTATGTCATTTTTGTTGTTGCTGATTGCTTTTTTGGTTTTGAAACAGGGTCTCCCTGTAGCCCCTGCTGATCTGGAACACAGGATGTAGACCAGACTGGCCTCCATTTCACAGAGATCTGCCATATCTGCCTCCTGAGTGCTGAGATAACGACATTTGCTACCACACCTGGCTTGATCCAAAATCATTTTCAAATTAAAAAATAGGAACAAGTAGTGATAAAGGTGAGTCTTTGAACAAAAAACATAATAATGAAAGAGGCATGTCAGTATAGTTTGAAAAACAGATGTAGCTGTACAAAAATAGAAATTTTTAGACAAGGCATAGTGGCAAACACATTAATCCTAGCACTTGGTAGGTATACCTCTGTGAGATTGAGGCTCACCTCTACATAGTGAGTTCCAAGGCGAACTGGGGCTGCAGGGAGACCCTGTCTCAAATCGACCAAAAGAGAGTAGGGAGAGAGATTTTTTATTTTATACACCCAAAGATTGAAAATTTCTTTTCCGCACCTTATTCCTCTCCATTTCTTTCCCTCTGTTACCTTCATTCTATCTTACACTCTCTTGCACACACTCACACACACACACACACACACACACACACACACACACACACTTTACTATAGCACTGAAAAGCAAATATGGACTTCAAGATACCCCTTATTGAGCAGTAGGGTAACAGAATCTTAGCATTCAAATTATTGAAACACAACTTAATTTGTGATAGTTTTTACTTTTTGCATTTCTACTCATTAATTTTTCTAGTCATATTTTTACTAAAATATGTACTTTTTCATTATAAAAATTGAGGTAACAAGATAAATTCCTTTGACAAAATTGATAGAATTTTTTGTTGGTTTTTCCTATTTTTAAGAAAGACTATATTAATTAACCACACTGTTCCTATGTTGTTTCTGTTTTCCTGTTTGTTTCAATGTTTTTGAAACAAGGTCTCCCTGTTGTCCCAACTGGCTTGGAACTTATTGTGTGGACAAGTTTGGACAGGATCTCTCAGAGGTCTACCTGACTCTGCCTTCTGAGGGATGGGATAAAAGCATACCACCATGCCCAGGGTAATGTTGGAATTTATTTTTACATTTCTAATATTTTTATTGAGCCTTGTGTATTTCATAGACTACATCTTAAGCAAATGTAGACCCTCTCCCAATGCTTTGACATAGGATTTAGACAGTAAGAACAACAGACAATAAATACAACCTGGCTTAGTAGACAGGAGAGGAGCACACACAATCCTGAAGAAATACTGAGAAAAAATAACTATTTTGAGAAACTATTCCATGGGTGATAAGAACAAACTACTCATCCCAGATGGGGAACCAGTGACAGACCAAAGTAAGGGTATCACCAAAAATCCAATTTGTGAACCAAGGAGTTTTACTTGGGTTACTTAAAGGAATATGGGTGAGGAATTACCAGCACAGAAATGACTCAAAGGTAGCTTTATCACCCAAATCCCACCCCAGCATGAGTGACAACTAGGGAAAGCAGGAAATCAGGAGTGTACTGCAAAATCTCAAGGCAGTTTGAAAGGAAAGTATCTTTTCTAGGTGGCTTAGTTGGTCTGAGATTCTTTCATGCAGTTTATCTGGCCTCTGTTTCCAGGTAGCTCAGTTTGTCTAAGACTGTGTCTCCACAGTCCTAAGGGTTTATGTATGCTTCTGGATGAAGAAGCCTCATGAGTCTGCCCAGCATCCTGAAGTATTGAAGATAGTCACTGACTAAGCTTAATGAGCTTCCCTGCAGTTGAAATGTTTCATCTACCCTCAAAATATTCTGTTTGCCTCCCTTTAAACATCCTGTTTACTTCATTTTAAGACATCTTGTTTTAACAAGCTTTCTTTAAAGATGGAAGTTTTAATCTCAATGAAAATTGCTATGCAGCTGTTTTATTTCCTTAAAAATATACCTTCTGGAAAATCAAATTTGAACATCAAAAAATGAATTTAATATTGGATATTGAGGTGGTAAAAAGAGAGAATATGATATTTAAAATTTTTTTCACTCTTTTTTATTGAGCTTTTTAAATTTCAAAAATTTCTCACTCAAATCCCGATCCCCTTCCCCATCCATGTCTCCCACTGAACCCTATGCACGGTACAATACATGCTGTGTCCTATTCATTCAGGTGTTTGTACCCAAATGCACTTCAGTGTAAATGTGTCTACTGGAGTCTAGTCTGCCCACCCAGTGGTAATATGCAAGTCACACTCTCTCTCACCCACCAGCAGTCTCAAATAGTTCTCAATCTTGTGCTGCCCTGCCACCTATTTCTGACCTTCCCTTTGGGCCCATATTTTAATTGAGGTGACATGGGTCCTGACCTAGATGCCGCCACTGCACAGGACCACCTCCCTGTTTTCATGAACCAGCTCTGGTTCTTACAATCTTCCCACCTCCTCTTCTGCAATGGTCCCTGAGCCATGGGTAGGTGAGTTTCCAGATAGGAGTCCCATCCTACAGTTTACATCTCTTATTCTCTAAAACTTGGTCAGTTGTGGCCTTCTGTGTGCATCACACTCTGATGTACATGGAAGCCTCACAGGTGAGAGTGAGGGGTGCATTAGCCCTCTCTCTGCCCCTTATTCCAGTATGTTCCATGACCCTAGTTGCAGAGATTCTACTACAAATCTGTCACCTAGTACTGGGCATCTCCAAGGAATATACACTCTGAGCCCGACCAGATGTGCAACTCTGTAGTAGCCTTCATTTGATGCAAAAGAAGCTTCGTTGATGAGTGCTGTTCAGCATGTTTGTCACTCTAAGGGAGGTCTCTTCTATGTGACATGGCATACCCTGCCAAGCAGCACCCAGGTATAAGTATGCATGAATGCTCAGACACTATGTATGTTTATCATAGGGTTTCTAGGGCATCATTTTTCCCTCCAGGTTTCCTATCCCCCAGAGCACAATCATCTCCACTCCTTTTCCTCTTGTCTTGCTTTTCTCCTCATTCCCTCCCTGCTCACAGTGCGGCCATTATCCCCATCCTCTCCCAATACTTCTGGACCCTGCCATCTTTCCTCTCCTGACTTCCCTCCCTCCCCAAACTATGGTCCTTGCATGTCCTCCGCCCTTGCCTCCTTGGGATCGCTCTCACTTTTTTCCACCTCCCACAGGTAACATCTGTAATGGTACTATTCCCCCTTTCAGGATGTTTCTTGTCTTCTACCTCCATGTATCCTTTTTCTTTACCTGGGTCCTGGTATTACATAAGAATTTATATATTCACATATAAGGGATTGGTGCTACAATCCACAAATGAGGGAGAACATATGTCACTTGCTTTTCTGCATTTGTGTTACTTCACTCAGTATAATACTCTCTAATTCCATTGATTTACCTGAGAATTTCATCTTTTCTTACTGTGGATTAGAATTCCATTGAGTAGATGTGCCACATTTTCATTAACCATTTGTCCATTGAGGGACATTTAGATTATTTCCATTTCTTAGCTATTGTGAAGAGAGCAGCAACAAACAGGGATATACAGGTATCTCTATGGTATGATGAGTCCTTTGAGTATATGCCAAGGAGTGGTATTTCTGAATCATATGGAGGTTAATTTTTGTTTTTTTGAAGGCTCCTACACTGCTTTCTATAGTGGTTGCACAAGGTTGCATTCTCACCAGTAGTGAATGAGTGTTCCTCTTTCTCTGCATCCTCTCCAGCATTTGTAGTCTTTTGTTCTCGTGATCTTTGCCAATCTGACTGGAGTAAGATGGAATCTTAAAGTGGTTTTTACTGGCTTTTCTCTAATTACTAAGGATGTTGAGGACTTTTTAAGGTGCTTCTTAGCCATTTTATTTCTTCATTTGAGAACTCTATGTTTATGTCTATTGCCCACATTTTATTAGGTCATTTATTTTCTTTCTTTCTTTTTTGAGGTCTTTGTATATTCTGGATACTACTCTTCTGTGGGATGTGTAGCTGGTGAAGACTTTCTCCCACTCAGTGGGTTTCCACTTCCCTTTCTTGGTTGTTTCTTTTGCTGTACAGAAACTTTATTATTTAATGAGGTCCCACTTACTGATTGTTGACCTTCATTCCTGAACAGCTGCTGTTTAATTTAGAGAGACTTTCCTGTGCCTGTGTCTTGGAGTGTGTTGCCTATGATTTCTTTTAGAAAATTCAGAGTTTTAGGTTTATATTGAAGTCTTTGATCCATTTGGAGTTGACTTTTGTGCAGGGTGAAAGATAAGGGTCAAGTTTCATTTTTCTGCCAGTGGAGATCCAGTTCTGCCAGCACAATCTGTTGAAGATGCTGTCTTTTCCCCCATTGGTGTTCTTGCACCTTTGTTGACTATCACGTGGTTGAAATTTTA